ACGATTCTTACTCCTAGTTTCCCACTTTCCACAGTCTGGGCAAGGAACGCCTGGCACAATGACCTGCCTTTTGTGTCCTAATTTACGACCAAAAATTCGGGGAGTTCTTCCCGAAAAATTGGGAGGGGTGTGCGGCACGCTTCCTGAAACCCTTACCCTATTTCAGACCAAAATCTGTGATGTTCCCTCCTCTATTTCAGACCTGAAGCCCTGGAGCCTGGCGCGTGACCGGAGCGCGTGACAAGCTGTTACCGCACGAACACGGTAGTTGGCGTAAACATTAAAAGGGAAATGGTCTTACCGCCAAATGATGAAGAAGTAGCTAATTCTTCTAAAAAACATACCCAATTCAAGACTAGAGTGCACAAACCATACCCCATTTCAATCCAAAACCGCTAAAAAAACATACCCTTCGGCGCGGCACGTAGCTATATAGTCTACCCCTCCCCCCCCTCCCCACGGCGCGAAAAACGCGTCGTGTCCTTTGTTTTTAGCGCTAGGATTCTAACGATTCTAACGACGACATGCACCAGTTTATGGCTTTAGTATTGATACAAAATTATTGACATTAAATTAATAGAGCGCTGTAAAGTTATACGTTATGAATAGTTTTATAAATATGAAAGGATATACAGAAATTTGATTTAATTAATAACCAAAAAACGTTGATACACATCGATAGCTCCAATTTGGCTATGTAATTTTGGCTTGATAAGCAATGATGAAATTAATGCATAAAATCGAGAACATACCTTTACAACCCTCTTCAATCTATTCTTGTCCTTGACAGATGAGCCAATCTGCTTTTTTTTCAGTAAAACCCTCTGTATAGTAATACTCTGATAGGAAACCGCGTGCGTGTCAAAAGCTCGGGAATGGCCCCAGGGTTGGCAAACGCCCGGCCCCAGGGCAGTGCAAAATTTGCAAATGCCCCACTTTAATAACAACAGAAATTTAAATGTAGAATAAGTAACTAATTGAATAAACAAAAGATTAGACTACGAGTAGTCCCCATTTTTCCTCAGGGATAGGAGAGCGAGCGAAACGCGAGCGCGCGTAAAAAACTAATCTCTCCTTGCCGCGTGTCACCTTTTCTCGCGTGGGGTGATTTTCACGGGCGCTTGCGTTTCGCTTGCTCTACTATCCCTGAGGAAAAATGGGGACTACTCGTAATCTAACAAAAGATGACATATGGTGAAATTATTTACACACAAAAAAGGGTGCAAACTAAAGATAAAGTTTTTCACTGCTGGCATTTTCATTTAGGGAAGGTTCTAAATCCTGATCAGGAGAGTCTACTTTACCTTGCAATGGGTGTGCCACCGTCCTCTTGTTTATAACCGCAGTTTGCTTTTTGGTCAGTGAATATAGGTATACGTATTGACTGAGAAGTGAACTGGAGCAGATATGCGGCCCGCAATCTACCGTACCTAAAAAGATGGCGACTGGTACATTTACCCACAGTTCTTAGCGCATGGAAATCATAAAATTGCTTATAAAAACGCACAGAAAGGTTTTATAAATTTCAAACCTAGGATAGGCAATGTTGCTATTACAGGGACGAATTTCGCCCCCCCCCCCCCCCCCCCCCCCCCCCCCAAACCACCACAAACACCACGATATGAGTCGTCTGGGGTGCGAGGGGGTTTAGTGTAAGGTGAGTGGGGCCGCTTTTTTTTTTTTTGTGTTCTTGTTTTTGTCTTGGGCGGCGGCAGTTGGGAGACAATATAAAAAAAAGAAAACTCTGCTACTTTCACCACTCACATAGCAAGTTATAGAGCCCGCAAACTACCGTACCTAAAAAGGTGGCGACTTGTACATTTACCCACCGGTCTTAACGCAAGAAAATCATAAAAATGTTTAAAAAAACGCACAGAAAGGTTTTATAAATTTCAAACCTAGGATAGGCAATGTTGCTATTTCAAGGACGAATTTCGCCCCCCCCCCCCGCCCCCGTCCCTAAAAAAAATATGACTTGGTGTGTAATTGGCCGTGTTAGGTTCGAAAGTCATTGTGGTAAAGTGTACAGCCGCCATCTTTTTCTGTACGGCGGACTGTGATCGTTACTGGGGACGCACTGTTTAACATAAACTTAAAACAGTAAACTGTTCCTTCCTTACGGCAGGAAGAGTAATAGAAAAAATAAACAAAGAGAACAAAAATAAAGTGGTGAATTATATTTGCCCGATATTTGGAGTTGCGACACAAACCTTCAACGGGGGCTGTGAAAGAAAAATGAATACAGATAAAAGATGAACGTTACATATGCGAGATTTGAATACACAGCAAACAGAAAATGATAGGCTACTAAAAAGATTAATGTCACTAACTGAGTTCATCACGTCTATTTATACCACGAGGTTCAGTCAAAGTCATAGCTTTGTCAATGAGCACAGGAAAAAATAACGGATTCCCATTTTTGGATATTTTAGGGTATTTAAAGAATACCCATAAAAATCCCAAATTTGGAAGAGTGAGACAAGTCCCAACCAGGGAATTCCCAACCAAGTTCCCTGATTGGGCCTTGTCTCACTCTTCCAATTAAATTTGGGACTTTTGTAGGTATTCTTAAAATACCCTAAAATATCCAAAAATGGGAATCTGTTATTTTTTCCCGTGGAGGTGAGCGTCGCGTGCCTTTCTGACAGAGTCACGAATGCTACGGGATTAGTTCTAAGGGAATAAGAAGGACGTCGTTGATAGAGTGATCGGCTTGATTAAAATGTTCGGAGACAGGAGTAGGATTAGGAAAGTAGCGATAGTTGAGAATGGAGCGGCGATGCTCCCCAAAACGTCAGTGGTGGAGATGGCGCTTGGTCTCTCCAATGTACTGTTTGCCGCACTTTTTGCATTAATTCAATGAGATAGATAAGGTCTTTGGATTTACAGTTTAAGGGGTCGTGTATATGTCGTTTCTCTTTCTGGAGGAGGTGAAGGTGTAGTTGGCTTGGCTTTGTTTTAAAAATGGACACACCGTAATTTTTAGGGTGTTATAACTCCAAAAATGGAGTAAACATTATAGGTACAGGATAACCCCTTTTTTGGGGTTATTTTAACTCCTAATTTAACTCCGAATTTGGGGTCATTTTTACTCCTGAAAAAGAGTTCTTTTTACTCCCAGTCTGGAGTTAAAATTACTCCGAAATGGGGTTACTTGTACTCCTTACATGGGTTGTTTTTACTCTTTTTGGAGTTAATTTAACTCTGAAAGTGGAGTAAAAATTTTAGGTACAGGATAACTCCTTTTTTGGGGTTATTTTAACTCCTCAATATCTGGGGTCACTTTTACTCCTGAAAAAGAGTTCTTTAAACTCCTTTTTGGAGTTAAAGTAACTCCACGAAAAATAACTCCACTGTAAGGAGTTAAATTAGCCCCACTATGGGAGTTATTATAACTCCCTGAAAATTACAGTGCAGGTAAGACAGCTTGGATAATTGCATTTCGAAACGCCGGGAGGTGATTTTTCTTGTTGTATGCTACAATCACGTGAAGTGCTTCTAACAAGTAGGTCACGAAGGCTGGTTGGGACTCCTTTTATAAGCAACGATAAGTGGAGACGGAGATACCGTAAATCCCGAAAATAAGCTCCTCCATGTATAAGCCCCTCCAAATATGAGCCCCCCAAAATCGTAATGCAAAAAACCCTCCGTTAAATCGCCTCTCCGAATATAAGCCCCCCCGGGGGGCTTGTACTTGGAATTTGCCCTCGAATACAAAGTAAAACAAAGCAAAAATGGTAAATTTCCTTCCCACTACAAGCTAGTCCAATTGGTTTTGAAACGCAAATTTCCCTCAGTACATAAGCCCCTCCAAAAATAATCCCCTCAAAAAGGGCCTTTGAAAAATATAAGCCCCGGGGCTTATTTTCGGAATTTTACGGTATTTGTTTGCAGCGATTGGATGATTGAAGAATGCATCTTTATATTTTTCTGGAAAGTGGTGGAAACGTTAGGAAAACTGGATTATATGTGTTCAGCTATTGGCCAATTTTTTCCCCCTGTTAGTCCCAGAAGTCCTGTTGAGGAAAATGAAATGGCAAGCGTTCGAAAGGGAAGCGAAAGGGGATTTTGGGCTTGAGCCGGAAGTGCGAGGGGTTCGCCGTGCGGTCTCGCGCCCAAATTCTCTTCCCTTTCCGCTAATTCCCTTTCCGGAAGGCCCGGGTCCCTTTCGAACCTACATCAGGCCAGAGTCGACACTTGGCTGCAGGGCAGGTTGAAAAATAGCTGAAAATATGTTGGGAACTAAACTGAAAAGTCTACGCATTAAAAACTTCCTGTTTTCATTTTCGCCAGAAAATGTTTTTTTTTTTTTTATCATTCTCTGATCTCCACATATCCGCCGTACAGGCATCAGACAGTAACCAGTTCCGTTAACGTCGCGAGCAGTTATGCCCACTTTCGGTTTTATCAAATTTTGACCATCTTTGGATCTCTGATCTGACTATCTTCTTTACAACAGAGGACCTTTTCGCATGGGAAGAAAAAAAGATAGAAACTGTCTTGGACCCGTAACGTATACTTTGAGGTAAGACCTGTTTTAAAAACACTCGTGACGTAAAAACATTGCTTAACACAATAAAATCTCTAAAATGTTTAAGAAGGTGAACTTCAAAGCAAGCCATTGAAAGCTATATTGACATGAGGCGCAATATTGTCAAAAGATTACTCCTCCTTGAAAAACTGACGTAAGCTCAAAATACTTAGTCAGGTTTAGAAAAACTTTCTTATTCTGAGTAATGTTGAGCTTCATAAAACTAGATTTCATCGTTATATATTCTATTTTCTTTGAAAACGACCAATAGTGATCAAAGCGCATGAATACTGCTGTCAAACCAGCGGACTCCCCACGGTAACGTTTTTCGACAGTCACGTGACTTGGAAGCCATATTGGTTGATGTGCATGTATCATTTCCCTTAGCGATTTGTAAGCGTATTATCATACGTGGATTTTATCGGATTTGACCCAATATTCCCAGCATAGTTTGGACTTATAATGCACTTTAAGCTGTTTTCCGCGAGGGGAGGTTGAACTGTAATTTGCTTTTAAAAGGAAGACCGTCTAGGTAAGTCTCTGAAGTCAATTGCGAAATTTATGTCAACAAGACAATGTTCGAACTAGTGTTTCTATTGTTTTAAGCTTGCTTATTTCATCCCATAGGCTTCTTTTTGCCGTTACCTACTTTCTCACTTTCCGTATTTTTGTCTGAAGTAGTAGTTTTTAATTATGTTTCCTCTTAATGATAAAATAATTACTGTACCTTGAAGTTCTTTCATCCCGTCCAGAAAAATCTGGCGCGAATCAGAAAATTAAACTTTCGCACAATTTTGTAAAATTCTTTTGGATTTCATTTGCTCTATATTAAGCTTATTCGGTTGTTTATTTCTCAAAACTCACTGATATAGCTCCAGTCGTTGGTGTGCTGTTCAATCAGCTGTGTGTGCGTGTCTTGAAAAACCGGGCTTTTTGGTGTTTCACATGCTCAAGGTGTGAAATGTTTTGGTTCCTACCGCTAGTTGTCGAGGTAAAATTTGCGGCCAAATACAATTTTCTTATTCTATCCACGTTAGCATAAATGCTTCCACTTATTTGGACGCAACTTCATTCGTATATTTTTTTCACAACAGTATTTTACGTGGCCTTCAAGTACAATTTATATCGAGTTTCGCCATCGACAATCGTATGTATACGGAACTAAAGTACCAAGCATGTCAAATTTTTTTCTTGTCACTCTATTGAATCTCTGCGGGATTCGAATTAATTTTTTTTCGATCTTTCTTTTTTGTAGAAAAGCTGCTCCCTTAAACTTTCAAGACCAAAACTACGATTAAATTTGCGAAAGCCCTTCAAAAGAAAGATTTCAGCAAGGCCTTTTTCTTAGGCCGCAACGCGTTGCAAAATGTAGGAGCATGCACACCTCTGCGGATTGTGCGTTTTTTTTTTACGCTGGATATAGAGCGAATTCTTTTCGGTTTCACACTGTTGTTAAGAGTTGTCACGCGTGTTCTTCCCCAATATAATATATTATTCTTGCGTAAATTTCGGTTCTCTAGGATATTTACCATGTTTCAAAAATATTTTTAAAACCCCCAATGTCGATTGAACTGTTAGGAGAGTACTGTATACGTGAGCTGCTGTTAAGTTTATTGCAATGTCTCTGAAATTAAACTTTAAAGCACAGCACACGAATTTTATCACTTCATAAAGCCCAAGTCCATTTAGCACTGAATACACATCCATAAATGAAATCCTTAGTTAATAATAGATCTTGAATCAGTGTTAAGTAAATTCATCTTTATAAGGGCATTGTTTTTGGCTTATTCGGGAATATTAAATGTGATTAAGCCAATCACTGTTGAGAATGCAAATAGTGAGGTGAAAAAATGACAGGGCACATTTGTGTTATATAAAGGTTTTAAAATTGGCTGCATTTGTTTGCTGTGAAGTCCCCTGTGTGTTTTGAGTAAGAACCTCTTGAATATTTTCACTGTAAACAGGATGTTGGTTTTAGTACACTCAAGAGTCTTTAAGAATGCTAAGAAGTGCAGGCAGGAGCAAATAGTTTCCCAACTGAATGTCTTTTGTCGCAAATAAAGTTCACTTTTGAAAAGTATAGTTTGATTGGTGCTATGGAAGATCAAACTTGAGCATTTCATAGAATCTTAAAAGATACAACAGTGCTGTTCTTCACAGCATAATGTGCAAATTGTGGTACTTGATCTAAATTGCTGAAATGTTATCACCTTCATTTGAATAACCACATGTTTATAGGATTTTAATTCTGCAGATTAAACTTTAAAAACCACTGGAATACATGTCATGATTTTTTGATAGGCTGAAATTAGGTGGTTAGATTCTGGTATTTTAGGATTCCTCTTCAGTTTGTTTGGTAAATAAATATATTTAAAAGGGTTGAGTGTATCCTATTGTTTAAGTATTTTTGTATAAATACAATTGAGTCCCCATTTTTTCTAATCTCCCAGAGAAAAGGGAGATGGTCTGCCTTAGCTTCTGCTCCAACGAGCAAATGGAATGAAACAAGTTTGGGCTTGTTGGACAATTATTTCATACAATTTACAGTGTTTTGCTACCTCAAGCCTCATCTCGTACCTTAGTTTATGAACAAACCATTGGTTCAAATTACTGGCAAGTGGAGGTTTGAGAAGCTGTGAATTGAATTTGAGGAGCTGTGAATTGGATATGACTGAAGTCAGGAGTCTACAATAATGATCAGGACTGTGCCGGCTGCATGGGGACTGGTAATTTCCCTTGGCTTCTATAAGCATGTCAACCCAGGCTACCTCCTCATGCATATATAAGGAATTACTTTTCCTAGCTGTTCGATTCCCCACCTACTAATAATTGCATACACTTGGGAACTTGAAATCTTAGCTACATCCCTGAGTAATAGTAGACTCCTGATACCCTTTAACCCTGCTCACAGGGTAGTTTGAAGTACTTGCAAACATTTGCTGAAACCTTTTGTATTTATTTCTCACTTTTTATAGCATTGTATTTGACTGAAATGACTGCTGCTGAATTAAGAGGCTAATGGCATTGCGTGTGAAAGGACGAGTGCTGGACCAGCTAGAATATGACATATTTTGGACGGAATACAGAGCAATTGAGGAGAGTAGACTCCCTGTGCCAGATGAGGATAATGAGGACGAGTCCACAGGAGGTACGGTGTTATAAATTAGATTTTCCTTTCTGAAAGTGATGCAATCCTTCAGGCTTTGCTGTAGGAGGTCAAAGGGTACAGTGGCTATCACATAACAAACCACAGAATCAGGGGGTGGTTTTCCTGTGGCCTAGCTGTTTTCTCTCAAATGCATAGTCATGTTGGCTGTAGGCCACCCAAGGCCACCCTCTTGTATGTATCATGTGAAGAAAAACTAGAAAAAAGAAAGAAAAAAATGGAAAAAAGAAAGAGGAAATGCCCTAATAGGAAGTATGACACTCTGTGAGTTTGTTTGTTTACTTTGAGTGATGCTTTTCAAATTTATTGTTTTTAGATATTTCACTGCTTTACATGTGTATTTAAAATTGTATTTTAAAGAATGTCCCTGAAAAGCTTTTGTCTCAATCTGAGGGCTAACTCTTGCAGTTCCTGGTATTTGTTATGTCACATTTTTCCTAGCCTGTCAAAGTTGTTTACTGTGAAGAAGTATGTTCCCATATTTTACATTTTCTCCAACCATTATAAGGGTAAAATGACATCATAGTCATCGTAATAACCATGTCTGTGGTTTTTAAGGTCACAGTTCATGCACAGGCAGCTCTATAAATTTAACAAGCAAATCTAAGGGCTTTTTGTATGTTACTTGAAAGTTTTTGTTTTGTGTGAATTCAGGTTTTAAAATGTACAATGTAGTTCATCCTTAATAACAATGTTGTTTGATTTGAGTCTACATTGTGACACTTTCTGTCAGTAATTTTACTAGTTATGGGGGGGGGGGGACTCCTGGGAATTCTTGGTGGGGGTGTGCTGCCCGGTTCTCCAAATCCTGACCATATTTCAGACCGAAAAATGTCTTTTTCTGCACTCATTTTCAGACCAGACTTCTAAAATCCATACCTGTTTTCAGACCTGGCCTTTGGGCTGAAATTATGTCATCATTACTTAGATTAGACTGCAAACAAAAAAAATTTTCTAATGTAATTCAAATTCACATATTTCTGTTTCTTTTTATTGATTTGGAATTGAAGCGATAAGTTATACGTTCATACACTGTACACTCCTTTGTTCCCTTGAAAACCATACCTGATTCCAGACCAAAAAATTAATGGGCAAAGTCTATACCCGTTTTTAGACCAAAAAGTCCCAAAAACCATACCCTTTGGGGCAGCACATACCTCCATGGCCTATATAAGGAAGTCCCCCCTGGTTATTACCCAACTGCATCTAATGAGTTAATCCTAAATAGCTCTCAAGACTGTAGTGCAGGTTATCAAACATATTATCATTAAGCAAAACAACTTTATTGCGAAACAAACCCAACAGTGTGTGGCTGAATCTCACCTGTACAGAAAGTAAACATTGTTTGCAATTTTCTGTCGTGGTTTTTCACATTCCTTCACTCCCTATCTTGGCTAAGTGTTGTGTGTTTGTAATGTAATACTTAGCAGAGGGTGTTTTAACCTTTCACCCTTCAGTCAATGGTGAAAGCACGTGATGGTCAGTTCAAACTTGCTTGTTTATCAGAGAAATCCTTTGATTTAACTGTTGATTAACACCTCCTCAACCTACATATTCTTTCACATTCAGTATTCCTCAAAACAAAATTTGAAAATTTTGTTTCTTTGCTGCTTGTCAATGTTCAAATTTAGTGAATTATTGGTACCAGTACTGGCAGGTTTACAAATACAACCTCTCCTCTCATATGTAAACATGTTACATCATCAAATATGTTAAGGGAATGTTTTTATCTTAGAGATCAATAAAATGACCTCATAATTTGACATTTGACTCTTTAAATACATAAACATTGGTAAATTAGAGTATTAGGTTTCATTTATCAAAATTAATACAGGAGCTTTCACTTAAATTGCATCAAAACTGAAATTTACAATATGTGGAGACATTTTTGTAATGTGACAGTACAACAAGCCATCCCTACATAGATCTGAGCAGTTTATCAGGCCACCAAGACTGTTTTATTCAGTTTTACAGTGGCAAATTGATTCAGAACAGCTTCCTTCCGTTCGGTTTTAGATAACTAAATGATAAGCCCATACAGAAGCTTTGTTTCAGCTCATGCATTTTTCCGCTTTTAAAGAAGATCACAGTGTAGTGTGAGGTGAAACTTTTATTTAGAGGATTGTAGACTTAAATAGAATCAGAATGTGTGATCAAGAAATGGATTTGTTTGGTTGAGGATACAGGGATGATCAGTTATCTCCAAGAACCTTTGGAAAGACTCACCAGGTTCATACACCGACGAGGATGTTATGATTTGCACAGAGCTGGTTTGTACATATACATTGGTCCTGTTTACTTTCGTTATGTCATTAGCAGTAGAAAGAAGCCCTTTCTTTAGTAGCTGTAATTGAAAGTTGGATATTGACATGATTCTTTGGTTTTGTAAATAGTTGTTTGATGCAAATATTGTTATTACCAGATAATTTAGTTAGTGCGACTTTTGGATTGAGTTTCTTTAACACAGATTTGATGTTCAGTTTTGTTTCCTTTGTGCAAGCAGCAATAGAACAGAGCTGAGAGTTAAGGAACGAAATAAAAACAAATCCATAACAATCTGAAGTCTCAAATATCAGAGCTTTAATATTTACTCGCGCTGACATATATTATAGATACATGTATGCAGTGTACGTGTATGATGTGGTCATGCCGTGTGAAGCCCTGTGATGAGGAAATATTTTTGAATGTTTTTTCCTTCATTTAAAGCATAATTTTTATTTCTTGATTTAACACTGTCGAAATTTAAATGCATGGAAATTGTTATTGAATTTGACTTACAGCAAGCCTTAGAACAAATTTAAAATGAGTTAAAATCTAGCTTTGATTTGAGGCCAGCATTTACAGTAGCATAAACACAGCAGCACAGTAAACTATGCTGTACCATGTTTCCTTGTCTGTTATTAACATTTTACTTTCTGTCATTGCAAATTCTTAATTACATACAATATTGTACAAAAAATAAATAATTGTTGGTAAAAATAGATAAATAGTGAAAAGGTCACAAAGGAAGTGATGATACACAAACATGTATTTGCGTGAATTTTTCTGGACTTCCTCCACTACACCTTCCTGTCTGATGTTAGTCCCACAAGCGGCAAAATGCTTAAACTTGATTTTGTGTCAGAAATTATACAACATTAATTATTATATTAAACAGTTTATTTTTTTTCCTACAGAATGTGAGCAGGAACTTGAGTGGCTCAAGGAAGCTGGATTTGATACCATTGTAAAGAAGTATAAAGGTAAGAATTTAATCATCTGCACATGTAGACTACAACATTTTGGTGTTGTGCACAGCTATATTTTATGGTTTGTCATTAAACCGCCTACAGTCAACTACCTCTCGGCAATAGTTACCCTAGCAGATACATCCTCTCTTGTTTTAATTTCTTACGACAGCCTTCTTCCTACTGTAAAGTGGTACAGTCACATACATGTACCTCTTTCCCCTAGATGGTCATCTGATTGTGGTGAGGTTCAATGGTAATATCATTAATGAACAGTCTAAAGGGACAGAGCCAATAATTATGTTGTATGCTATAAATTCTACTGTGTAGACATAAGGGTTAAAAAATCTATTTATCTTTGGGAACTGCCTGCGAAAGGAAGGTGTCTCTACATGTAGAATGGAGCTATCCATGAGACAGGATTGTAAAAATGTTGATCTCTTTATTTCATTGTCAAGTGAAAGTGTGTGGGCCAGGCTGTATGTTAGAGGTGGGTAAATAACCAGGTGGGAGTGAGAAATATTAAACAGAGGGAACACATTCAATAAAATGTCTGTGATAACTCTTTTAGCTGTAGGTTCACATAAATCATGTGCGCAAGTCATTCATGTGCATAAACTAACGGGAAGTAGGAAGATGTACAGACTGAGCAAGCTTTTACCCTCGGACAGTGTTTACATGTAGCTTTAAAAGGTCATGAGCAGACGATCACCTAAAAAGACATCTTGATTATAGTTTAACAATACTGTACTTCTTCATTTTGAAGAAGAGTTCTTCCACAAGAAAGGAGGGTTACTAATACTACACTGTACCCAATATAAAATCTTTATTATTATTTTTTTGTGATTGAATAAAATAATATTTTCCACTCTTTTAGATAGCAAAGAAATTGACCATAATGATGTGGACTTTGAGAAGATCACAGGATCCCTCACGAAGAAACAAGCAGAGGCTGTCAGGAAAAGAATTGACACTTTGAATCAAAGCACGAAGAAAAAACTTGGCTTGCATGTACAAATAGCACCATCAAAGCAAAGTGCATACCCTGCTGATGTGAGGACAATTTTTCCAACAAAAACAAATGGACAGCCTAGCAATGCAGAACAGGCTCACACAACAAGGCCAATGCTACTGCGAAAATCGTACAGTGAAGGAGTTCATGTCAATAAACTGTCTTCGTGTGACAATGGTGAAGTGGATAAAGAGTTAGGACACTCTGAGAAAAGACATTCGAAGTCAGATTACATGCTTTCAAAGATGAATCAAGATAGAGATTTTTCAGGGGCGTACCTACGTCCTGAAAATGCTGCATGTCCAGAAAGAAGATCAAGTGATGAAATGAGACCAAGGAGAGGTAAAGATCCTTTGGTTTCTAATTTTAAGGGCTACCAGATTGGGGGCGATACAGTAAGTTATAGTGGGGCCCCCCTAAGTCAAGACCTTTAGACATATTTGTTTGTGGGATGCATGGATCATATTATCTGTTTTTCAAGCTGATCTGACAAAAATTAATTTTATTAGTATGTGTAATTAAGAATTAATTATACATGTAAGAATTTGGACAAAACGCATGTTAAATTATTCCCTAATTTCACGAGTTTACCATAAATTTTGATTACCTATTTATCTAATGGGTGCCAAATTAAGCTCAAAATCATGGGTTTTTGACATGTTTATTGTATGGATCCAGAAATTCACATGCTGAAAAGTTTAGATCTTAAATTTAGGCTTAAGTTCCGAATTTTCAGATTTTTTTGACAAAATACCTGCTTGTCATTGCAATGTTGTCAAAAGTAGCCGACGGCCGGCGAAAATCGCTGCCTACATGGTTATTATAGGCCGGCCACTCAGCTTGGCATTTCTTTATGGATCGCGTTTTTTAAATAAAATATCCCCGGACTGGCCGCTTACTTTGACAACTTAGTCGTCTACTTCAAAACTTTCTGACAACCCTAGTTAAAATGACTCTAGGCCTGATATATGCTAGAGCTCTACAGTTTATGCCCTTTGGAAAAGCTTTGCACCCTGTAGGCACATTAAAATATTTTTATATTCTAAACACAGAGATCCAGCAAGCACGACACTTACATGGGGGATCACTGTTTTACGTGACAGGAACGACAAAACAAGAACTATTCAATACGGCAGAAAAAATGAAAGAATCCAGTGTTGATGACCTAAGCAACTGTGATTTGAAAACACTGAGTATATCGCCTCCTGACACCAGTCCTGACTCATTTCATGAAGTTCCTGTTGATTGCCCTGAAGAAGTTCCTGTTGATGTACCCGAAGGCAAGAATCTATGCAAGCCAGTGGAGGTAGCTACACTTTCAAATTCTCCCTACTACTTCTATTGAAAAAGTATAGATAGTAAATGAGAATCTCAGTTTTGATATTAGGGTTTAACAGGTTAAAACTAGTTTGATTTAAAATTCATTTAAATTTCCTAGCCCTAATAATTTTTCATAGAAGACAAAAGAAATTTTTGGTTACCTTAGAGTCTGCATTTTTACCCACAACTTACATGTTTACAGTGTAACTCCACTGGATTAATGTTACAAACAGGGTCACAAAATGATTGTTTCTTTTGATTTGCTGTAGAATGGTAAAGTCCCTACCGACAGAAAGCCTTTTAGGGAACCTCAATTTCCAAGACTTCCTGTGAGTATTTGCCTTTAATTATTAATTTAACAATAATCATCACTTTATAGACATTCCCTGTTGGCAACTTCAATATGAATCTAAGTGAATGCGCTATTTATGCTCACATTATTATCCCTGTCATGCACATGTAAAATTTTTCACATTTCATCAAGGTGTTGGGCTGTGTTCTCTTAACATTTCAAAATATATGTAAAAGTCGTTTTGCGTTATTTTTCTTTACATTTACCTCTCTTGAACAGAATTTTACACTTACAAAAGATGAATTAGGTGTGACAGGAGTTCATGATTTATCTCCGCAAGACATGGAGAAGGTGCGTTCTTTGTCCCTTATAGAACTCACAGCACTATTCGACTCTCATGGACTGGCACTGCACAGAAGAAAACCTGTCAGAAGAAGAGTTCGAGGTCAGTAGAGAGTGGTTTAAAATGGAAATGATCAGCTTGCTTGCATGTCTGCTGTTCGTTGTTTTGTGGGGGTGGGGGATGGGGAAAGGAGGGGGATAGGGACTGGAATAGTGGTGATAAGGACTGGAATAGCGGTGACCTACAGTCACTAAAAAGTCATGTCTGATAGCTTGGGGCTAGTAAATTGTGCTATCGGGCTAGTGAATTGTGTTCTTAAGTTGCCCGATGGGCAAGTGAAGTATTTTGGGGGAATTCAAATTCCAACTGATAAAAGATTTTTTCAGCTTTGGGCTAGTACATGCTAGTTACAGCTTGCTGGAAGGAAAAGCTGTAAAACTGATTTTGCACTGCGAGGGATTGTCCAGGTCTTGGAAATCCTGGAAAGGATTATTCTTGCATTTTCAATTTCTGGGAAATGATTGCCCATCCTGAAAATGGGTAAATTTATGTGAGTGTCAAGTAATAAAGATTTGGATGGGAAAAATAAAACCAGCAGCTCAAGAATAGTGGGGAAAGTATGATTTTGAGCCCTTAAACTGAGTCCTGGAACTTCTTGGGAAATAGTTTTTTACAAAAGGCACAAAGTCTGTTAAATTGTATGCTGATACTAAATTTGAGGATACCTCACTGTCTCGCTTTTTCTTACCCCTGAGATCCTAAGTTTAACACTCCATTCTGTAATTATTTTGTGTCAGAATCTGGTATATTCGGAGTGCCTCTTCAAAATCAACTGCAAGATGAAAAAGTGAGGAATGAAAAAGCATCAATACCACCTTTTTATACTGAGGTAAGAACCACAACGTGAGCCGAGGCTTAAAGTTCAGGGTTGAAGCTACCAAGATAGCATTAAGCAAAATGCTAGTCCTGATAATCCTCGTTTGCAGGGCTAGAAATTGATAGATTGTAGAAGGTTAAGGTGTACTGTCATTATCATTCATCCTGCCTTTGCTTTCACTTATATTAGATCAGTGATGACTCTTAAGCCTAAGTCATACAGAAACCTTCACACTTATCTTGCCCCTGGTTTCTGGTACTGTTTTAATCTGGCAGCAAACGCCAGGTTCAAAAAATATGCTGTTCGTGTGGTCGGGGCCTAAGAAATTGCTGCATTCTGCAATACACAGGAAATGTCGTAAGATTTCAAAGGGAAATAATACTATACTATATTGTTAGTGATTATCAAATTTGTTCCCATCTTTTAAGTAACCCTCCTTGTCGGTTCGTGTATCTCCAGTTTGCGGTTATACAGCAATATGACATTACGTAGTTAACGTAGTTTTATATTTTATTTCAGCTTATCATGTATTTGACAGAGAAAGGTATGTTAATGAGACAAAGTTAAGCAAATTTCATGAAAATTTCTACCGAATTACATGATACGCTTTAAAGAAGACACTTTCTTGTAAAGTATGAAATTTATTGCAAAATAAACGTAGCCGATTTTTTTAAAACCAACCTAACGACATTTGCAGTCTTTGAGTGAAAAGGCGTCAAAAGGCAGGTTTCTTGAGCCCGAGAAGCTCCAAAATCATAGTAACGAAGGAAAAGGAAAGGAGAAAAAGAAAGCGCGAGGAGAAGGAAAGGAGGAGAAGAAAAAAAAGCAATGGTTGCACTCTTAGTTTTTATAATAAAACTGAACAAAAAAACTGTTGGCGATAACGTTATCAAAAATCCGGCTAGAAATTGAATGTTAAGGTAGTTTAATCACGTCCTTATAAATATCTCATTTCAATTTTACGTCATTAGGATTGAAGGAAGAAGGGATCTTGAGAGTTCCAGGAAACGCAGGAAGAATCAAGGTATAACACCCATCTTTGTTTTTCTTGATTTGAAGGTTGAAATCACGTACGATTAAAGAATGATACATAGTCAAACCACGACGCCTTGCAAACTGTTATAAAGTACAGCTTTATTCGTTTCTATGGACCAAAATAGCCCAAGGTTCAGTCCCGCGCTTAATACTTGATCAAAATGTTAAAAATTTAGGGATCAATTTAATAAAACTTTTGCAAGTGTAAGTTACAAGTGTAGCCATTGTTGTAGGAGTCTGAATACACTAGCTACACTTGTAAATTACAATTGTAAAAGCTTTATGAAATTGACCCCACAGTTGCTTATACACCAAGCATTATATTATGCGGAAAACGTTAAAATTTGATTATCGGAAGTAATTGATCACACAAAATCCACAAGTATTAGCGATGCCATGGCATAATTTGTAGTATTGAAAAATCTCGGGCGACTCAAGAGTAAAGTTTATTACAGACCTTTCTCATAGGTGCCGAACCTTTTGCAAGATATTTCCTTCCTCCATGTAATACAGACCGCTTTGAAAAGCGGGTACTTGACTCTACCCTGTTGCTGCCCGTACGTGTTTAAGGAGATTCGTTTTCTTTTTTTTTTTTGGAAGTAACAGCTTATAATAAAACATTTTTCAGCTCATGAGAGAAGAAGTGGAAGAAAAGTTTAATGATGGATTGTTCATTTGGGAAGACAGAAGGCCGCATGATTGTGCAGCTTTACTGAAACAATTTCTAAGGTAACACAGACTGGCCAATACTATTTTTAGTGTATTATTTTTGCTTAGGGTATCTTTGGCTTCTGCCCAAGAGGTATTTATTGTATTTAAGATACACACTGAAGATACTTGGATCAATCAAGGCACCCAGCGACTGGTTTCTGTTAATGTCTGTAAAGAAAATAATGCCTAGGAATTTATAAACCTCTAAGCCAGGAAAGGTGAAAATTTCTAAATAACTGTTCCATTCACGGGAGAACTTCGGCGTATTTCAGCTAACTTTCCCACGATGTCTTTTCATTTCACCCCTTTTAGCATATTATATTTCGTAAGAAAAGGTTCCAAAAATTTTCAGTCACGTAAATAGTGCTGGAAAAGGGTATAAGAAAATCTCACGTTTTCGTACGTCTTAGATTTCCGGGAAGGATCGACTGAGAGGCCGACTGATAAAACTCTAAAGGCTCAATTTGCCCAAAGATGACCGGAAGAAAACAAATCTTTAATGCCGTCTGTAATGCATTGAAGAGTTTTAAAATCACTCTAGGTAGCCTTAAACAGCTTTTTAAAATGTGCTTTTGGTGAAATTAGTTGTTGGGTGTCCCTAATTAATGCCAGACATTAAGATTTTATAGCCGTTTTTTTCGGTAAGATTTAAGATAATTGGAATGCGAGGGTGATTTAAAAGGCCATTTAAGTCGTTGTTGTATTCAAAAGTAATTGTGTTCGTGTATTTATAGGTTTTTGTTTTTCTATAGGGAACTTCCTTTTCCTCTGTTAACGCATGAATACCAACCAACGTTCGCGTCTGTCGAAAGTGAGTACGTTGTTACTGATTGAAATGCGAATATAAAACCATGATACATTACATGACAAACTGAGCTTAAAAACGCAGTAGCTTGGGTTTAACATGAGTTTGTAGGAGTCTGTCTATCTCATGATCTCGCCAGTTATCAAAATGTCTTCCTTACAAGTGGCGGTACTACTGGCAACTTTTAAATTATTTAGACCTGATTCTTTAACACTTCTTGCTCCATTCAATAACTTACTTGTCTAGAAAAACGTTGCAAATGAGTGGGAGACAACAATCAATTTCAAACTGATTGTTTGCTCTTTTACATTGTGAGTAGTCGAAAAATAAGCCTTCCTCCCCAACCAAAGAAATTTTAAGTCTTTTTCTTACCTGATGAGCGGTCGAGTTCTAGTTTATTGTTTTAATTCTTGTTTCTCTTGATCAAGGTATCCCCGACAGGAAACAGCAGCTTCAGGCTTTAAATCTTTTAATTCTGTTGTTGCCCCCAATTCATAGAGACTGCTTGAAGGTAACTAAAGATGATCACTTATAAAACACCCAGTAATATGCACGGAGTTACTCTGTTTTAATTTGTTGTTTTATAAAATGTTTGCTAAATTTGGATCTATGACCATAATTTTCGTGAAAAAAAGGTATAGTGTAATTTATATTTTAAAAAAAACCGCAGTTGTCTGTGCAGAAGAGGAGAGGACGTATTATGTAACCCGTTTGCTTTCGTGTACTGCTCAGTAGCTAGCTGGGGCTGTACACGCATGCATCTCTTACTGATGAATCCTAAACCGGCTGAGACATCTATTCATGATTGTCACTGCCGGGCTGATGTGGCTCTGTGCAGGCAAAAAATAAATAATGACCATACCTCGGAATGCCTCGGTAATGGCGTATTAATTTTTGTGGTTTCTTATCATTTTTAGTCCCATAATGAATGGTGGAGTGATGTAAGGTCATCCTAAGTTTTGATTTAGTGGACAAAATCCCATGGTGTGACCATTTAAGTGAACGGTCTTTGGTGGTACTTCCATATTAGGGCCATTCATACGCGGAAAAATAAGACGCGTCTTTCATTAGACGCGTCCTGAATAAGACGCAAACTATCCCGTATAAGTGGCACATTGTACTTTTCGTTTTCGAGCATTTTGCCAAAAAAAAATCTAAAAAATGAAATTGTATTGGGAGAGAAAAGGTTAACTATACAAACTTTAGTGAAATCTTTGGAGCTCTTTACACATTCGACCATCGTTTTTTCATAGATTCTTGTTCACTTCTTGAGTCGAGTGGTCGCTCATGAAAAACACAACAAGATGGGACTTAACAGCGTGGCTATGATCATGGCACCTAATATGTTCTTGTGCACCAACAAATCACAGCCGACATTACAAGAAATTAAACATGCGCAGGGCACTGTGAACATTGTAAGAATGTTAATCAAGTATCAAGCTATTCTGTGGACGGTGAGTAAAGTTACGGTAAAACGAGCAACAAAAACGTGCAGCTTGTTTTGTAGCCTCAATAAAAAAGAGTTGAAAAAGCAATGTTGCACGTTTTACCAACAAACCAGGTTGTTGTAAGTTGCGTTGTATACTGACTTCTGATTGGATAAAATTACGCGGGAGTCACGCCTAACACGGAATTTACGTCACTTATTGCAAAATAAGTTTGGCTTTGCCGGTAAACGCGCAACATGAACAGATTTTCTGATCAGAAACTTACGAGTTTCTGTTATCATTTAACGAGTGTTATTTGAGTGTGAGACAGGTTTTTAAGGCAAGACATATTTTACTAAGGACAGCCTTAAATGTCTGGCTAAACGAATTACCTAACGGGAAAAGAGTTCTTCCGCACTGAGCGTGTAGTGTGTGGCAGGTTGCGAAAAGTTGTTGCAGAAAGTGAAGAATAGTTGAGCTACTCTTTCTAGAGATTTTGTACCACGTGAATGACGACTTGCAGCAAAGGGCCCGTAGGCATAGATTGAAGATTTGATATTCTACCTAGCGTCATAGATTGTTATTTTTATGTTGTTTGTTTTGCACAGATTCCTGGATTTATGGTGATGCAGGTTCGTTATTTATATGAAGCAGAGGGAAACAAGAAAGCTAAAGATGCTAAAGCCGTAAGTTTTTATACTTTCAAGGCGTAAATTTACTGGCAGTGTTAGTGCAACATTGCAGAAAAGCTTGCATAGTTCGGTTTTAAATCAACCTTTAGAAACGTTTTCCTTAGTAGAGTGTTTTAGACTTGTCTGATCTGCATAAAACTGAAATCCGGGATCAAGCTTTGAAAAAACAGTGACTAAAAGGAGCTTTGTCACGAAATTTAGTAGTAATTTAGTAGTCATAAAAATAGCGGCTCAAAACATAAAAAAAGGTAGAAACAAAAGAAGGCAAGGATGGCCCCCGGAGGGGGGGGGGGTACTGCCATATATGGGCTATATAGGTATGTGCCGCTGTGAAGGGTATGGTTTTCAAGCAGTTTACTCTAGGATAGGGTATATAAATCAGAGTGTTTGGGTCTAGAATAGGGTATCATTTTTATTGGCTAGACTACTGTGCTAGTGACCTCAGTAGTTTCTAGAAAACAGCTACTCTAGGATAGGGGGGATTTGGGGAGTTTACTCTAGTATAGGGTAGCAAAATTCAGCTGAACTAGCTCTGGTATAGGTTAATGGTTCCAAGGACCCAGCGGCACATCCCCACCCAGAAATTCCTAAAGTACCCCCCGGGGGATGAACAAACTTGAAGAAGATGAAAACGGATTGCAATTGCCGTTTTTAAAAACTTGTTAGCTTAACAGTTTTTCAAATTTCATACTTGTTTGTGACATTTGATATAATGCTCTGGGAGAGATAATCGTTTGATACGAAGTTGTGATTGTCTTTTACAAGTAAATGTTTCGCATATTTTAAGTTTCTTAGCAAATAAAGACGCGTTATCGGCATTATTAACCCAATGAACTGGACAGTCGTTGCCAGCCCCTTTAAAAGACCATAAAACTCTTATGCTATAACTCTTCTTGCGTGTTTCTCTCTCTAAAAAGTTGTGTTTGCACGTAATTTGTTCAAGGTGGAACGAAATTATTTCAATCGTGATCTCCCGGCTGTTTTACTGTAGGTGAGGAAGTTGCTTGCAAAACGTGCTCGAGGTGATGGACCTGGAAGCTCTCCACAGAAGAAAAATTCTACAGGGGAAGGCTCCATGACTATGATTGATGTAAGTTATTTTCAGTGAACGCATTTTAAGTGTTTCCACTGTTTCTGTACGCAGAGGGTATTCATCATATGATGATAACCCCTCCGTTCTACCGCGACTTCCGGGAGCATTATGCTTCATCGCACACGTCTGGAAAAAAAGTCTTCTTGAGACTTTGTGTCAAGAAAGGAATTCGTTACAGCTGGCATGCTGAACATTTGACGCAAGATTTAACATTTCACTCGCAAGAAGGATCGCGTGTGGTGGAACCTCTTAACTGATGTTAACGTGCCCCGTGATACAACACCTCCCAACGCCTTATCGTTTGGGCGATTTGCGCATGGTTGCTAAACACCGAGCAAAGACGCAACTAGATATAAATAATAAAAGACGATTTCAATGCAGTCTCACCCATGCCCACCTATGTAGGATTCTGGTCGTAGTAGTAAAATGGCGTTATCATTCAAATGGCCTATTGATACTTAAAAATTGTGTTTTTTAAAAGGCACAACGGCGCAAATCCAGTGTTAATTTAACATTCCAAATGCTGCTGTTAGGAGTTGACATGGAGCCAATTTAATAAAACGTTTACGAGTCTTATTTACAAGTGTAGCTATTGTTTTCAGATCCTAAAGCAATTTCTACACTTGCAAATTACACTTGTAAAAGCTTTATTAAATTTAAACTAGTCGGCCTTGAAGGATTTCTTCCAAAGCTTGATTGGTATTAGTGAAGTAATGTTGAATTGACAAATTTCGTTTCCATTTTAGGCTGATTATGAAAACAACATCATACGGGTGAAAGCACCAATGCTGAACAAGATATTGATGGCAATTCAGCTCACCGAGAGTATGCGCGCTGGGGACATTGTCTCCAAGTTTCGAAGACGCCCGTCTCCTTCCGAAGGCCCAAGCAACAATGGGAATCTTTCCAAATCTCAAACGAGTGACTCTTACAAGAACTGCCTCAACCCTCACAATAACAACAAGTTCGCTTCAGACAATTACTATCTCTATGAAGTCGGGGGTAACATAGGTGAGAACATATAAAAATTTTTTGTTAAGTTGGGGAAAAGGGAAAAAATGCAGTGTTACCAAGATTTAGTACCAGTTGATTGTCCAACAGAGAAGCATTTGTGTCAAAGGAATGGATTACAATCTTCCTAGAGAATAGCTTGAATTTCAGCCGTTTCGTTTTTTTCCGTTTCTTGTGCGACTCGAGGTGACAGCTGAAATTCATGCTACTTTGTGACTGAATTGATCGCTTTCCTTTTGTTCCGGGGTCGTTCCAGTGTACTTTACTCAAAAGACCCGCGGAAAATTCTCATGATACGTGCTTTCGATAGAGCGAGCCAACCAGCAGTCATTGGTTCGCAGGATTAGCGCGGTTTTCTTTTGATTTGTTTCCCTGGCAAATCACGTTAAACGCAGAGTATTCACATAAACCAATCAGGTGTCGGCGCAAATACATGCAGCTCCAAGCGCGGGAAAACGCGCGCCTGCAAGCGATAATTGATTAAGAAAGGGGCGCAAATTTTTCCCGCCAATCGCAAAAGCAGGGCAATGGCGGTATTTAATACTTCTAACACCAATAAATACTTCTCATTCTTTTGAGATTTAACCAGTCCTGCTCACTGTAGATAATGAAAGGTTCGGAAGAAAGGATCTAAGGAATAATATGACGATTTTATTTTATTCACTTTGTTCTACCCAGGTGAACGATGTCTTGATCATGACACAAACATGATGGCTTTGTACAAAGTCAACCCACATGCTGAGTGGATAGTCCAGCCACGTGGTCACTTACACCACTTCTAAAACAGGCGGGAAAGCAAGAACGTGACTGCTTCATGTCGCCTGTGTATTATAAAGTGGACAGGTTATTGGTAGTATTTTTGCCAGAGGCGATGTAACGAGGTTACCTAGTTTACATTAAACGTGATTGTAAGTCAAATACTCTCGACATCGATGAATTTTAGTTCTAGAACTCACAATTTCAAACTTTTTTTGTATAAGAAAGATACATTCTTGTTGGAAAACGAAAATTTTTCTGTAACTGAAACATCTTTTTTACTCGCTAAACTTGTTTTTCACAGTTTATGCAGAGCTCTACTATCAGATCACTCTGATTCAGAGGTCATGCTCTCACAATTTTGAACTGTTTAAAATTTATTAACTGTTTTAAATTTATTAACGTTATCTTAGGGTTGTTTTGAGGACGTCACGCAATCTATCGATACTACGTTACATGGAGTGGGTGACAGATTTCCTTGAAGCCCAAGATCCCCACAGATCCTTTTGTCTTAGGGGAACTGATATTTACACATCCTAAGTCACGTCAAAAAAATACTTAACCCAAAAAACGTGAAACAAAGGCTTAACGGGGAAAAGAAATGTAATTCAAAGAATGTACCCGCCTTTTAATGGAAAGGGTTTATAGGTATGTTAAACACTAGTCTGACATGTCAGCCATCTCTCCGCGCCACTTCCCAACGGGCGGCCAGACGAGAGAACACACGATAGGTCGGTCTTTTTTTGGCTCGTTTTGTTTATGGATGATTGTACTGTGCAATCACACTGACAGTGGAGCCTCAAGGCTTTTAGAAACCTCCCTATGTTCATAGGCCTTTGAAAACACATCTGCTAGTGACATTGTTCGGGTCAGTCATTCATTCTAATCACAAGTTTATTAATTTATTACAAAGTCAAGAGGTCAGTTCTAATAATTTATGTCCAAATGAAACAAGGTATTGTTTTGGTTATCCAGTCTGTAATTTAATACAAAGTAGGTTGAATTATTTAAACAATATGGATTGAACTGAACCCAATGAAAAGTTTAATAGATGTAATATATAAAGAAAACTTTACACTTTCTGTTCAGGTGAAACTCATTTTTCCCTCGTGTGAACATTCGAGCTTTCACCTCAGGAGAGAACAGAAAAATGTCATGGAAACGGTCACACTAGGTTTCACTTACACAGTACATTGTACCTGAAACCAACTCGTACAGCTTAAACATGGCGACATCATGAAAAGTATGGCTCAGTAGCTTTCACTCGATTGGTTATAGTTTTATTACACAAACTCCGTTTGAAATATATGAGAAAACACCACTTTATATTACACCCACTGTTTAACGCTATACAAGAAAAGAATATACCCCCAGGGGGAAGAAAGACACCACATGTGACGTAATTCCACAACTCTCTGCGGCCTTATATCATGCTGTTGTCATGTGATAGCTTTCACTCGATTGGCTATAATTTTATACCGTAAACTGCCGTTTTGAAGCCCAACCCCTTTGCCCCACAAACTCCTACCCCCCCCCCCCCCCCCCCCCCCCTCCCCCCCCCCCCCCTTCCCCCCCCCCCCCCCATATGCCAACACATCTTTTTCATCTTTTTCTCTTTATTTAAAAACAACAAAAAAAAACCCACCCAACTCCCACCACCACCGCACTGTATTTCGAAACGCTACTATTTTTAAAAAAAAAAAAAAACACACCTTTATCATAACCCCCACTGTTTAACGCATAACAAAAAAAAAATAACCCCCCGGGGGGAAAAAAGCACCCCCATTGAGCTAATTCCAAAACCTCTGGCCGCCTTTAATCAAGCTTTTTGCCGTGTGTACCTTTCACCCCCTTTGCTTTAATTTTAAACCCTAAACCTCCCCTTTTGAGCCCCACCCCCTTGCCCCCCAAACCCCCCCCCCCCCCCCCCCACCCCAGTTATACCCTCGGAGATAAGTTCCCCTCTAAATGTATTGAAGAGAATTCGATTTCGACGTTTGTCCCTTAATTAAAAACCAGAAAATGCAAACCCCACTATGATCAACACCGCTCTAGGTTGTTTCGAAGCGCTAGTATTCTATTCCGGCAGAAACTCATGAGCGCCCTCTGACATAAGCTAAGCCACTCCTTTTATAAGCCCACTTAAAACGCCTTACCAAGATGTACATGCCCATGGCTTAGAAGTGGTAGTTTACGGTAACAATTTCTTAGATCATTCAAGAGGTAGTCTAGTGGTTGCAGAGCGAAAGGAGGCTGTTCCTGCTGATGACAGACTCCTTTTTTGTACTTTCTAGTCTGAACAAGATTTCTAATTTTTTCAACCACATTGTAAAACTCTTTTGTCTTTAGAACATGAACATTTAATGCATACGTATTGCTATCATTGTTACTATACATGTGTAAAAAGTATTTCAACGTTCTGAAAATAGGTTGTACGATTTAGTAGTTACCAAGAAAAGAACACAATAAAAACTAAAAAGGGACGTTTCTGTCGTCCAAATTATCTGTCTTGATTCTTCATTACGATGTTTCCTGAGGAAAAAAGCTCTTTCTAATCGACTAAATTGGCCTTTTTCAAGAACACCATATGATATGCGAAATTTTGAAACACGCCTTATCCTCTCTTCTCCACCTCTGAGGAAATAGCGCGTTTAGTTCCTCGCACGGATTCATCTTTTAAGTTCCGGCCTGGGGGTGTGTCCAAGATTGACGTTCTGACCTTGGACCTCTTCAGTTGGCTGTCTATAACTTGTTGAATGGTCTTGACCCTCATATTTTCATTGGACCCTATACCATGTTTCTCCTATTGTCATTAGGGGTAGATGGGTACGATATTGGAGAGATTTATAATGACGGTTACGGCTAACAGCAAATGTCATCTCAAGTTAGGAATGAGCAGATACAAAGGCTTTCTAAAACAATTCTTAAGAATGAAACAAACAGTAAAACAAAAAACTTGGTCACGTGGTAGAAATTGGCGTTTGCTGAGAACGTGATGCTGAATCGTGGGCTCATTTCCCAAACCGAGCCCACGCTGATTTATGATTACACAGAATAAGCGGTGAAAAATGAGAAAACAATGGTGAAAGGGGTGGAGGGAAAAGTCACACCGCAACTCCGCCCCACTTCCCACTACCCAGGAGCTTAGCCAGTCACTTTGATTTATATTATTCAATTCTGCCCTATAAGCAAGAAATAGCTCGTAGAGTATTCCTTCACATGTTTCAAATCTTTATCTCCAAAACCAGTTTTAGCTGTCTGTCTTAACGCGTCTCCTTTACAGAGTGTTTCAGCAGCAATGTTACCTAAACCTCATAGGCAGATTTAGTGGAAGGGCAAAGGAAATGCACCCTACCCATTCTCTCACGTTGGTAGAGAATTTTAAGATCCCTAAGTTTTTATTCTCTGATTTCTAACGGATAACAGACAACACAACTTTGTACTTTTTATGCTTTATATTATTGAGTGAAGTTAGAGTAATGTACAGAGTACGCCACTTCCTTTAGACATTGGCTTACTCCAAATGAAATCCAATCATACTCCCCCAAAGATTATGCACAGCCGTATCCTATTCCAACGGCAGGAGCAAAAGAATTATGGGGTGTGAGACTAAAAGTGTTAAGCATGTCCTCCTAACCTCCCTCAAAAGCAACACTCGTTTTTGTATTCTATAGTTTTGTACACTTATCTTACAGCCTGCCACAAGTTCTAGCCCCATCTCATGGACTATTTTGGGAAGAAATCCAAACTTGCTAAAAGGTACCCCGCAAGTAAAGGTTTCTTCTAGCATGGCCTTTAGCGTTTATGAAGTCATTTGTGTCCCTTGGCAGTCACATAGTTGGTTTTTTTGATAACTTAACGAATGCTAAAAGCCATGCGAGAAAGAAACCTTTGCTCACTGGGTATCTTTTATCAAGTCTGGTTTCCTTCCTAAAAAAATTCCTCCTCTCAGCTGTAGTGTAGGGTGAATTATGGATACATTTTTCTGGAATAAAATTCTGTAAGATAATTCCTAGCTTGATATAACGAAAATTGAAAAAATAATAAAAAAATGTGACTTGATTTGGGACAGACATGAAAAAATCTGTACTGGGAGGACCAAAGTACAATGTATGACTATATTTGTATAATACAGTGTATATATACAAGTTATTAACTTAATCTTAATATCATCTTGTGCTAGCGTCTTTACAGGACAGCAGTCTAGACAACTTTGCCTAAGAAAAGAAAACATGATTGAAATGAAAACATTGACATCAAGCTTGAAAAAGAGAATGGAATGGAAAATGAGCAGGGGAAACCGACATTAAACACTGGTCAGGGGTAACTGCCAGGATTAACTCACTATACAGTGGGGTAGGGTGGACACAATAAAAATCATATCATTTTGGAAATCCTGATACAACTGGTTAAAGAAATCTTTGGGCATAACATAAAGATAATTGATTGATTGATGGATTGACTGACTGATTGATTGAAGTCAACATTCACAAGACCCAGACAAGTGTGTACATGAGACAGGTTCATTTTGGTTTGTATCCATTGAATAATAATTATTGACAATTACAATAATAATTAACAACTTAACATTAGACAAGTGCACGATGGTCACAGGCTTCATTGGACACGTAATTCAGTTTTTATTGATTTCATGCTACAGGCAATATAAACGTTTACAAATTTGTGAGGTAAGGGTGCGTTCTTGTTTATTAGGGGTTTTTTTGTCATTACCTTGCGCTGTTTCCTTATGTACTGTATCCTAATCCAGGCTGCTTTGCAGGACGCTAATAACTGAAACAATCACAATCAAAAGAAATTTGGCTTGCTAGAGCAAAAAACAATTTCAGTAACTCATCTGTAAGAAGTTGTAAGTTACACCTGTCAAGAAAATAATGTCAAAAATTATCCAGGGCTGTCACTAAGAGCCTGGGGCTGGGATTTTTCCCCAGCTACTATGAGAGTGAACCCCAGCTACTCTTATAGCCCAGCTACTAGAAATGTTAGCTACAGCCCTGATTATCAGATTATCTGAGGACATTCTTATACCAAAGACCTGCAATTTACTATTCATTTTTGTAGAAGTACAGTCAGAAACACAAGGCAGCACTGTGCTCGACGTATGAAAAGTGTTTTGGACAATTTTTGTTCTATTTGGCCAGATAGCAACCAGAAAATTGCCCATCTAGCTTCAAAAGCAGCAAATTTATCTTTGCCAATGACAACCATACATTATTTATGAAAAGGGCAGGATACATTACATTCGAAACATGTACATTTTCTAGGTCATTTTAATTACCTTTCCATCCTGTAAGCCATTCAATGCTAAATGATACTGCTCCCTACAAAGTAAAATAATTATCATAATCATAAGTAATGGTAACAGGACTTACTGGAGTCAAATTCGGTCTGTAATAATATACGAGTGATTAAGGATGACCATGTAGCAGGAGTCCGATTTGTTTAATCAGGAGTATGATTATAGACTGAATTAGGCGACAAGAAGTTCTGTTACCAATTATTCATAACTTAAACAAAATTTGCCTTATCTTAGGCTCTTATTTAAATCAAAGCACAAGAAATTCTGAAATTTATTTTTGCTAGCAGTGAAAAAAAAAAACATTTATGTGTATGCATTATAGTGCGTACTGTCCAATCACTTAGGCATTTCACATACTGTCATATTACACTGTCCTATCGAGGCTGAAATCAGGCCAGTTGATAGCTAATCAGATTTGAGGATTTTGTTATAGTTATGATTATAATAGCAGAGTACATGTATGTGCCGTATCCATGAGTGTACACTGTATGCATGCAAACCAAATAATAAAATAAATTTAAATGGTCTAAAAAATGTACAGCTTGTAGGTGGAAGTCCCTTGGGTGGAAGTTGATGAAACAAGTAACAGAGACAACCCACCCCGGTCCATCCTAAGCTACAGAAGAATATAATACAAAAAGCCACTATCCAGATACTAATTTTTTAATACAAGATGGTTTAGATATAAAATAATGGTATACCGATTGTCCAAGGCCAGGTCACACACCTTATAATTTTAGATGCTATTATTAATTGTCCTCTTTGTATAAGGCTCATTGCAGCAAAAACTTTACACTGTGCAGCAAGAATTGGATTTCCTAATCTCATAGCTACCAATAACTGGTGTTGAGAAATCTGACCAGCTTTCTCAGACTGAAAAAAAAAAAGACAATAAAAGATCATTAAATTTAATGGACAATGGTTGAATGCACACTATCAGTAATCATTGTAAAATTGAAATTTTCTATTCTTGATGTACTTTTTAAAAGTTTTCAATGTGTACTCTTAAAACGAAAGATGACTTACAGACTATGTTGAACTGTTTCAGGTCACGGACAGACTCAATCAGAAGAGGTCATTTAACTGATCATTTTCATTAATTAAACTTGAGTCTTGAATTTTGACTGCAGAATCTATTGCTGGTTTCCAGCTGACATAATCAAAGGAGCTTGTGGCGAAACTTCGGAGCAATCAGCAAATCCACAGTGGAAGCAAGCACAGAAAAAAACGACACGACTACGATGTTGACATCTGTAGCTGATCTTTGTTCTTTCTTCCTCCGAATCATCTCAAAGGAGCTGAACTAATAATTATTTTATCACTTAACAAATTTTTCTCTATAATTCTCGCGGCTATATAGGACAACAACATGGTATCTGCTTCTCTTTTACAACACTCTATAAATTCAAGTAAAACATTTCTCTGTAAATATCTCATGCACAAAAACTTGTGAAGACTTCAAACTTCAGTTGGCAAGACTGTTTGCATATTAAGGTATCTTTTTTCAATATTTATAGATTCTTGATTTTATTCACTGAATGGTTCAGATTTTCATTTGTGATGGCATAACACCCAAAAACAGCAACTGGGATTAGAAGGGTTAAGTTACCAGTAATGTTTTTATCCAATACTAATAAAGAAAAGCTAGTCACACTATAGTAACAAAATGTGTAAGACAAAAAGATTGTCAGAATTTGTATCTGTGAAATATTTAGATTTTTTGTCATAAGATAAATGTTAATTATGTGTAATTTGCACATGATCCTGTTATCCAGCTCTTAGCTGCAAGGGGTTCTGAAGAAACAACTCTACTCTACTCTACTCACTCACATAACTACAAAAATGCTCTCCCATTGCTGAGTAAGCTCCTCCTAAAGTTGACAGCCATGCCATGACATCCTGAAGCTGCATATATTCCACAAGACCAACAAGGAGCCGCCTGCACCTATGGACCACACCACAGTACTCTTTACTGCACTTTTCACAAACACACGAATTCTGAAGTTCAAAAGCCAACTGACGATTGGGTTTTTCGCTGCCGTCAATCATCTTAACGGACCTCTTAGGAAACAAAACTTTACTTTAATGGGTTCAATTTAACATCATGGTTTGTGATTTGTGATTGGTGGATTTTAATTCATTTTGTGTGTTTTTGTGTTTCAAGGTTCGTTGCTTACGATTGTAATTATTATGATTGATGGCAGCGAAAAAAGTAATAATTTTTGTGAAGGCGGCTTTTGAACTTTAGAGTTTGCATGTTTGTGAAAAGCGTGGTAAACAAGATTGCCAGAGAGATGGATCAGCAAACATTGGACACAGTCTAACCAGCTCATTAAAAATTAATGCAAAACTACAAACTGTTCTTTGTACTTTAGGTGAAACTTTAAATGATCAAATCAAAGCCCTTTTTAAGGCAGGATTGAAGTATAATTATAAAGGAGCACTTTCATGATCTTTTTCTCAGATAGGATCTAGTAGGTATGTGATCGTTTGAAGTCAATTTTATAAGGATTTGTAGTTTAAATAGAGTGCCAACCACAGGAAAGCACCAATATTATTTGTATACAGCATAAGAATTCAGATACTTATTAGAGATTTGCTTTACTATTGCAGACCGGCATTGTGAGAACTGCATGACTATTTGATTGTTACAACATTCTGTTGTGGAAATTAATCAACTTACAGTAAATAATAATAACCTGTTCTGGAAATGGAGTCCCAAAACCATATACATAATTTGGAAGAGTTCTTTTGCGAGGCATTAAAGGTAACATTCAAGTTAGTTACCCCACAGAATCTCTTGACGACTGATTATTTAAAAATCTGAATCTGTTAGCCATTGCTGCTACTGGTATCAAAGACAAATCTGGATCTCAACCTCACAGTATGGACAATGAGCAGTGAATTTTAAAAGACTATATTTCACTCAGAATGAAAAATAAACTTTAAATTCCTGAAATGTGAATTCACTGCTCATTGCTCATGCAAGAATGAAAAAATGAATCTGAAATCAGCAATGACTAAACGGATTCATATTCAAAAAGTTCATTCACTAACAGTATCTACAGGAGTACACTTCATCTGGCTTTTTTTAATGGACTGTAACCTCACTATATAAAGACTTACCACTTCAAATCAGGCTCCACACACAAAAATGTTTGTGACTGAACATTAATATGAATATGAAATGAACAAACTTCAGAACTGCTCTTTGCTTTTTTCTCACGCATGTAAAGTGAACATGCTTTGCCAGGATTAAAAACAAATATACATCTTGCCTGTTTGTCAGCTGCAGGAATAACTAAAATAGAAAACTAACATCAGTATCATATGTTGATGCAAAGGGGTTAAAGAAGTTTAATATTATTAGAACTGGAGAAAAATCAATCTCACCATTACAACAACCTTTTTACCAAATATTGATGTGGAAACCAACTTAGAGTGTTGTTATGAGGCTGGTTTTCACATAACGTTAGAATTGAAAATATCATAGTCATACCTAAATTTCTACTTAAGTTGCAAATGAAGATTTAGATACAAGATACATTTAACTTCGAACTTCGATAACGATTTCTATCATTTTCCAAGCATTAACATGAATGCAATGTGACTGGCTATAAAAAAATATCTCTTTCGCTTTTTATCAGCCATTTCGATGCAGACACAAGTTTAAAACTCTCCGTAGTTCCCTTACCGTTACTTTCTTTTATTCCTCTCCACTGATGAAACAACCATGAGGTTAAATTAACACAAAAATGTTCTGAAACGCAGATTCGCTGCCACAGAATTCTTCCGAAGATGGGCTTGACATTCAACCACACTCGAATCGAAAATGGAGAAAACTTTCCTTGACATACTTCCACGATCGCTCCACACTTCACAGTTTCTGTAGAGATCTTCTCGTAAGTGAAATCAGGGCTGTGATAGTTTGCAACAACCACTGCTTTTTCCGTTTTGTGAACCAAAAAATTACTTTGCATTGGTGGCGGTATTTTCTCCTCGACCTCTGCCAAAATTCCTCCAGGCATTCTAGTTTCCAGGGATTATCGGACGCGCTAAAAATTAAAGATCCTCCAAAGAATGAGAAGAATCGATCAGGTTTTTGTTATTAACTCCAAAATGTATGATTTTTATGTTTATGTAGAAAAATTAGTTTACATGCGGAAAGGAAAAAATGATTTTTCCGATTGCAAAAAGTATTCGGAATGTTTCTTTGTTTATATCCTTAAACTTGAACTCTAGTATTCAGGGTTGTCAGGATGGCCGAGCGGTCTAAGGCGCCAGACTCAAGGATAATTTCCTTCCCATGATTCATGGGGTGGGCGTTCTGGTCTCCGAATGGAGGCGTGGGTTCGAATCCCACTTCTGACACAACCCAATATTTTTTTTCTTTCCTTTATCCTTTAAAAAATTTGCCGTATTTTTTTGTATCCCAGTTTATGTTATACTTTGATTTTCTATTTAGAGAAATGAAATGGTTGTCAGAATGTCAAACCATTCATGGTGGCGCGGGGACACTGCACTGTCCTATCAAATTTCTAATCGGCTCCATGACGTCAGTCAGGCTCCTAGCTAAAAAAAATAAAGATTTTCTTTTCTAGCCAAAATAAATGCGGTAAATTTCCTACAAGGGTCTCGATCTCCATCATTAGCGCAAAAGTTCTATACCGATACAACCCTGGGGCCTGTTTCTCGAAAGTCCCGATAACTTTTCAGGCCCGGAAAGCCGTTTTGTGTTTGTTGTGGCTAGGATTTGTTTACTGCTCGCCTACTTGTCGGGTTGTCCTCGTACCTTCTAGGCTGCAGTATTTATTGATTGCAGTTGGGGGAAGGGGGAAGGGGAGTACTACTGTCAATGGGTGTTTCGAAATATTCAAAAGAAGCCCACTATACACCTTGGGTTTGCTTGAAGCCGGTTACATTTTATCCACGAAGTCATTGCTAGGTAGGTAAGGGGTTTATCTATAAGCAGTCAGGGGCCATTTTTGGACATCATCTCTTTTTCTTTACAGCCGGCGATAAAAAAAATGAATGGTCTAGACCATATATAAAAGGTGTTTCTGGCGTAGGGGAAGGGGTAGAGAGAAGCGTAAAGAGACTTCGTCCTTTAAAACCTAACAGCTGAAGGACTGACACTGAGGTCGGTCCATCAACCCACGCGTGGAGGGAGATGAGCGGATGATAGGTTCAAGGTTTAAGGTTCAAGTTTATTTCGCACTATTCAAGTTGATACAGTACAAGATGGCTTACAGAATCAGTAGGTTAGCAAATGATGAAAAATAAATATAATATACAGGGTTGTTGATATGTGCACAGTGACCAAAGTAGCCCAAGCTTTCGTGTTGGTCACTGTCCCATTTAAGTAAATAGAGGAGTCCAAGATATAAGTGTGAGGTAATAATAAATTAGGGTATAGAGAATACTTGTTTTTATAGAATTTTTTCTGGACTTTTTGAAACTGATAGTTTGCAGCCATCTTGGTTCGATCACGTACTTCAAATCATAGAGCGCCACTAAGTTTCGCGTTTCGCTGTCCTCTTCCCTTTCTTCGTCTCCTGTTGACCTTTGTGAGGGGGGAGCCTCCTTCGGGAGAAAACTTATCACTAGCTGGATAGTTATCTGAAACGCCGGGGGAGGTGTGGTCAAAGTCAATCTCGTCTCGAGTCTTCGTCCCTTACTGCGCATGCTGGCTTGACGAGACCGCTGGTCAAGGGGAACGAAGACGCTTGGTACGAGGGTGGGACAAAGCAGGAACATGAGAGACGCTGAAAACTCAGGCCCCAGTTTTATTGAGAAAAGCTGACCCTGGAAAGAGGGTCACCCTCCCAGCCGAGTCAATTATATAGCGAGCGTCTACGTGAGAAAAAAGTTGATCCGGCTTTCCCAAGAGCTGATAACAGCGCTCACGCATGTTCTGATTGTCTCGCCTCCACCATACAAGTTGACCCGGCCGGCTGGGCTAGCCAAAGTACAAAGTGTTTATGTGGAGAAAAGTTGGCTTGGCTGAGATTGTGACCCTAGCATCGAAAAAGGGTGACCCGACGGCTTCGCTGGTGACCCTTCTATACTCGAGTCAACTTTTTGTTCCTCGTGTGAAGGGTTCGCCTAGTTTGGTAAGGAAAGGTAAGGACAAGTTTTCTTCATGTAAACGGGGTATTACTGATAGAGCGGTTTTCATTTGAGTGTCGAAAAGTAATTGGTTTTGCACTTTCTACACGATGCGATTGGCTTAAAAGATTCGCGCCACCTTTTCATCCAATCAGAAGTAAAACCAAAGCCAATTGTGACACTTTGCGTCAGCCACATGTAATTACTTCGAGTTTTGATTGGTTCAATGTATTGTCTGTGTCCTATGTGATTGGCCAGAGTAATTACTTTGGTTTTGGTTTTACGACACTCAAACGAAAACCACTCTAGCAACAATCTTATAGACGGATAATGGAAATATGTTACCATCCCTGGGTCTAGAAATAACCCAGTAAGAAGACGGTATTCGTTGCCCTTGAGAGCAAAATCAGTCTTTATTAGTCAATAATTTTTTCGCTGTAGATGAAAAACACACAGAAAAGAACTTACGATTCTTGTCGATTTTGTCACGGCCATAGTCAGGACGATTTCGTGAAATTCATACTCAGTGTTAAATGATTCATGGCCATGTTGAAATTAATTAGTAAGTTTTAAGCGAATAACCTACATATGCCGGATATTTAACGCACTTAGCCAGCAGCTAGCTCAAACGCTCACTCGATTAAAGCAAAATCAAAAAGTGATTAGCAAACTGTTTTGCTTTTTGAAATAGTGCTGTGATGTCCGTTTCACTCTCAGGAAAAAAGTCCAATGGTATGTTCGCTCCGTGGCATGATGTTATTCATTTCTTGAAGTGCACTCAGAATATACTATATGTGAGAATGTGTTGTCTAAGAAGACCGTATACAGGTGTATCCACTCTCAATTCTTTAATAAACTAATATCATCTCTGATAAACTATTGCACATGTCTGTAATAATCGTTCAATGTCGATACTGCAGTTCTCTTAGTGAAGGAGAGAGATCGGTTAGTCTAGATCTTAGGCGCTGTTTCTTCCTCAGTTCCATCTCAAAAATCTGCTCGGATTTCACCAGCAATAAGCCTGGAGTCAGCTGTATCTTCTTCAACACCACGTGCTAAACTTGGAATCGAAATAAAGGTCGTCCGCAGATCCCGTGTCTGACATCGAGTCATCTTCCATGTCACGTGGTTCATTTACGTCAGAATCTGATTCCGAATCTTCGATTATGTAACTATGTATAGTGCAGAGTGGGTCCTGGAACCTAACTTGGTTCATGCTACTCTCAGAACTTCCGCTGGTCGTGCTATCTGTACTTCTTGGTGTTATGTCTGCGATAAAATGAATAAATTGAAAAGTAAATAACCATTATATACCGAATTTCATGAAGTTTTGTAAGCTTATTTATGAACACGCCGGCTAAATAAAGTAACGAAAGACTTTGCATTTGAAAACAAAAAACACCGGTTTCATCGCAAAATTCTTGGCTTGCAATCACGTGACAAGGCTGCCACGTTGGTGGTCGAAGAATCTACATGTCTTGTATGAGCTTTTGCTCTGACCACCAACACACCACCAACATGGGAGCCGTGACATCACCTGCAAACCAGCAATTCAGGTGAAACAGACAAAGCTTCACCTGTAAAAACTGTCAAACCAAATTTCGTCGCCTTCTTCGTGTTATCGGGAACAGCTTCTTTTAGTTTTATTGGTGAAAATTTTTCGTTTGTTACAGAAGCAAACCGGGAGGCTGATTTTGCTCGTAACCAACGCGGGTTTGACGTCACTCGGAGCAAGCTCGGTGGTGAATAGCACTGATTGGAGATCCCGAGTTTGAGTAGCTAATCAAAGCGCGCGAAAAACACTATCCGCTGTTTTAGTATACCGTGTGGCACGAATTATTAATTTTTGCGATTTTCAGAAAGTATCCAGTTCCCATCATTGATAATATTTTCTTCGTTTTTATGGAGTACGTGCAATAGAAACACATTTTCAAGCAATAAACCAGTATTTCGTTGTTTCTAAATGTAAGAGACAAGTTTTGATTGATCAGATACGATTTCGTAGTACTGTATTTTTGTGTAGCGAATTTAAGTTACAGAATATTTACTCTGCAGTAAATTTTTGCGGGAAAAATATGTGCGGTAATTTCTATTTGCGGGAACTTATATTTGCGGAAAGCTGGAAAACCGCAAAAATAGCGAAAATTAGAACCCGCAAAAATTTCGTGCCACACGGTATACTAAACAATGATATAACTAGGCAAAATTTTCGCAGTCATAAAACTTTTTCTGTGCTTAAAATCTGTAGCATGTTTAGCAAGGGTATGATTCGCGGTTTTGCTATGACGTACGTTGTGTTAAATAAATTACCTTAAACTTTGATCATGCGCATTACCTTTGGAAGGTGGAACAAGCGAGCCTAGTCTCTCTTAGATATAGGGACTTAGTTACGACTCACAGCACAGTTTTAGACGTCTGCACGTTCTTTTCGCCCGCCTGAACGACAGCCCCACGTCTTTAACTGGAAAGTTTAAGGAAACTGGTAATCCATTAACAATATATTACATCAAAATACTCACCGGTGAAGCGTACTGCTTCTACAGATGTGTAGGAACTTGGAATAAACCCCTCTGCCCCATCAACTTTCATAACCCACCACCAATCGTTATCATCTCGGTTGAGAACAGTTACAACTTCTCCTCTACACACGTCCAAATCATTCTCATCAGCCGCTTGAAAATCATACAAGACCATAACAGCATCATTTTCAAACTTTCTGAAGTGAGTCACTTTCACTTTCTGTCGACGCCGATAAGTCTCCGGAGCTTTCCGATCCCACTGAATGAGACTGGAGACCATCGACGTCGTTTGATTGTCGTCGGTTAACTCTTCGAGTGACGACGACAGCTGTCGGGTTCGTGACTTCTGCTTATTACGACCGAAGAGCGATTCGTCGCTACGGCAACGCGGTATAGAAGATGAGTCTTGCTTTTCACTGATGCGCGTATTTCTGGGGTGAAATAAATTTGTATCATTCTCCTTAATAAAATCGTCATGAAAATATACTTTAACAGGATGAAAGTTTCCGTCTTCGTCCGTCTGCTCTGCAGGTGAAAAAGAGCCATTTGTGACAAAGTCATTTTTGCGTAGCACAGAGCAATAATTAAACGGTATAAATCCTTTCTTTCCTTTTCTGTTTACCGCGTAAACTTTACTTTTATCCCTGTAAAGAAGCAGAACTATTTCCCCTTTGTCTGCATTCAAATCCGTGGACTCCACGCCTTCGTATTTCCATAACACGCGCGCTTTGATATGAGCTGGATTTCCTGACGTTGCCGCCGCTAATTTCGAAGCCAGTTCTGTTTTCGCAATGTCAGGCATGCGCAGTGAACTATGAACAGCAGCAGGGCTGTAAGCTTGACTAATACCGCTATCACTGTCGTCATCCTGATCAACGTCCATATTCTCCATATCATGGCCTCCTCCTGGTAACAAAGGCTTTAGAGTATGTAATTTCCTTTTTCTGGCTTTTTTCAGCGTATAAACTGCGAACAAAAGATATATACATTACATTAACTTTATCCTGACTGATCAAACTCTGAATTTTAAAGATAACTCTGTGATTTTACTCTGCTTCGTAATTTCTTGGAAAACTAAAAGATTCTTGTTCAAAAGTGAATCAGCCAGTAAATCAGGTTTGTACTTAAACCCAAAAACCATATAGCGTGGGGTTGCTTTATCAGTAATTAAGATCTCCACTTTTGCAATTAATAAAATAATCGACGTCATGTCTTAGATTTTGTGAAGTTCAGAAGTTTTCAGCAATACAATACCGACTAATAATTTTAACATAATTACAATGTAAAAATAGCTATTATAACACAGCTTCGTAAAAACACTAATAATAACAAATATAATAATATATTAGTATAATAATACTGATGATATTTTGCCAAGTCATTTAGCTGCGATACTAAGCAATAATTGCAACAAAAGATTTAAAGTTTTGAATGTAATATCATGAAATCGTGGGATGACGTTGTACTTGATAGGAAATAGCGAAGGCATATCTTAGGAACTAATGGTTAAGTCACGGATTTACAACTTTACTTGACTGCAAACAGTTCTTAAACTGTGCGATATAGTAACTGTAAGAAAGACGGCCCCCATATTCAGTTCTACCAGTACTGGAAAAGTTCTGACTTAATCGTTTGAAATGAGTTATTAAAAAGTTTGTCTATGACATAAAGACGCGCGTGCCAATTCGCATGGGGAAATACTATCGATTACAGAGTATTTTAAAATTAATATAAATAAATATAACTGAATCACAGTCACTCATTCCTTCTATTTTGTACCTTTTGTGTCTCACTTTTTGAAAAGTTTGTATTCTGTTATCAAGCTTTATCAGAAATATGATCAACAAGTATATGAAAAGTGCCGTGGACTGTCATTAACATTTGGGCCACCCCTAGGTCTTTTCTGTTTTGATATTGAGTCGCGATTTTCCATTGTATCAAAATTTCAGGATGTAAGCCAAATATCCAAACGTTTACCTAATTACCGACCTAAAATCGCCAGAACAGAAATCATAAATAGGATTGAAGAATATGGAATAGAGCCTAACGGAATGAAAATAGTTTTAATATAGGACTTACTCTTTATAAAGGAATATTCAAGAAAGATCAGTGCAAGGTCTCATGACTGAAGGTTGACTTTAAAATTTTTGTTAAAGAAAATGAATCAAAGAATCATGCATATTTTTTAGTAATTAATTCTTTATCTTCGCAGCACATATACTTGCTATTCTCAATTTTTATTTTTTCTGAAACTAAGGCATCCAAGCTCGACGAAGAAAGCAGAATACCTCAAATCGAGACAGGGTATTTGCAATGAAGTAAAGTTTAGCTTTGCGATCCAACTGAGCTATTGACCAATAACTACCAGATGAAAACTCTTTCACAGCGACTGACAACATTTTAAGAACCAAGCGAGACTAAAGCTTGTCATTATAAATACGCGTCTACTCTCACTGTTAATCTTTCCTTACGTCAATCGCTAATAAAAACTTTTTACTTTAAGGCTGAAAACTCAGTGATGTTCGTCCATTATCGACGAACTATTTTCTTCGCCTCTCCTCAAGGTGATCTAGGTTTGTTGTGCAGTATTTAGTTTGGAAAATGAATATAGAACGTTTGTTGACTCTTGATACTAGACTATTGTTGAAGTTAGAGGTTTAGTTTGACTTAACCTTGAAAGTCCTTACCGATCGCCAAACAGCACATCGTACCTCACCTGGACGCAAAACTCGAGACGTCACTTGTCACCGTTGCAACGTGGGGATAAAAAAAGCGTTTAAATAATCAAACGCCGACTTTTAATTTCTATTTTGTTAACAACGAGCAAATATAACTAAATTGTCGTAGAAGCATCCAGGTGGTCTAGACCAGAACTTGAGGTAATTTCTACCAGTGCTTCCGGCGGCCTGTTTGTGAAAGTTCCGTGTTTGGCGTCAGCCACTCTGTCCCTGTACTCACACCAAACTAAACGTTGTGGACGCTCAAGGTTTTTCCTGGGATAAACTCTTATGAAAGACATTCTACAACGGCAACTTGAACACAGTGACGCTCTAGCTTACTGGCCTCGTTAATGTAAAAACTGAAATCACGTCATTATTTCGAGATCAATGAACTGAAACCTGCTACAGACGCTTTTAAGAGGGACGTCTCTTTGCCAGTGAGTGTGAAGTACCTCCGAGACGCTTAGTCGCTAGATTTCTACTTTGTATTCACCTTTCTCCGAATAGCTTCCTTGAGCATACCTACAATCTCAATCTTATCTGCATGAAAATCGTTTGGTAATGGTTTATGAATATCAATCTATATCATGGCTGATCTCATAAAGGTTCGCAACAAAAAGTCGCAAACTTTGTGATTTTCTTGTCATTCCATAAGGTCTAGATAGAGAAAAATAGACTTGGAGAAAGCACAAAACAACCCGAAAAGTATTTGTTAACCGGCAGACGTAGATAAGTACAAGACTTGCCTAGGATTCCATTCACTGTGTCAACATTTAGAACTTATCGAAGATTTGTTAAAAGTTTCCACACCGAAAGAGGTCATACTACTGTTATATTATGTTAAGTTAGGCTTCTCAAACAACACAGATGAAACAGATTACAGAAATGGCGTCGTATTCTAAGGTTTTTCCCAGTTTGATTGTCTCACAAACCCAGAATAACAACAAAATGTTAAAGATCACTGATAAAGGTGCTGCTCCGTGAGTACCTCTTATTCGGATAGGAGAAGAAAACTAGGTAAAGGAAAATGGTCACAGCTCTTATCCGAGCAAAATGCACGATATCATGACGACCTTTGCGTCTCGAGCCAGGGATCAGTGATAGTTCACCCGCTAAGCCAAATACTATCACTCACGTACACTAAACATTACGTAAAAATTTGGAGTGAAGTTCGGAGCACTTGTCCTCTTTCCTCGCGCGAGCCTCGTATGACTGAATTCCTTCTTTCTCCAGTGTCTACGATACAAGGGGGCACGTTGACTTCAATTCCGCCATTGGGCTTCCTTTCAGTGTCTTCATTTCACTCGTCAATGCGAGTGGCACTAATTTCTGAAGGGCTGTCTGCATGGGAGTTGATAAATGTTTTGATTCGTTTTTGAAGGCAACCACAACATAAATCCAAACTGAAGATAAATAATTTCCTACAATGGTACCTTCAAAAGTCGCTTGATGTAACGGCATTATAAGGAGTCAAAAAAAACTCGGTGGTCAAGAAAACGATTTTTAATTGACTAAAGTGATAAGTGGTTTGCGGTTAAAACTCTTAAGAGTGGCCGCTTAATAGTACCTTCCTAACCAAAATTAATAAAATTAGCTACGATGTTTTCAAGAAAATTAGTCGTTGACAGTTATTAAAGACATATAATGATATTAGCTGACAAAGAAAGTGGAAAATAACATAACTGCTGCGTTTATTCTACCACTACATGTGTTTATAGAGGTGTCGACTCCATTTCTCTTCAAATGGTAAAGCCGGATTAGAAGAACGTGGTAGCAAGAAATAAGAAGAAATGCAATATATTTATTAACAAAAAACTACGTGAATATTTTTAATTTCTGAAAAAAAAGAAGCGGAAATAAAAGAATTTTATTTCTTAAACAGCACCTTTTCAATATATAATTACTGAATTAAAGGCAACGGAAGTTAGAGAATTCACTTTCTTTAAAGCAATTTTTTCATGAGCGATTTGCGCGAATCCACTTTTTTCTTTCTTTATAATTGAAAATGAAACGTGCAGTGAATATTTACCAATGCAAAAATACCTTCTAAAAAGAAGGTTTTAAAAAGTATAATCTATGGCGAATTTAAATGACAATGAATTGTTCGAATGACGTACTTTGAAGAGTCTTCATTGAACATAGCACTAAATTGATCAAAACGAAGAGCAACTTGTAAAACAAATATTATACGGTCTGCTTTAAGACGTTTACTTTGATATGACAATTCATGCCTATGGGTATTTTTTTATTATAATAATTTCAAACTTATTTTTACCACGTACCAGAAAACACCTGATCTTATAACGCGACAGAATTGCCATTCAATTAGCGACCTAATATTTTCTTCTCATGCAGCTGGTTCAAAGTGTAAAAATAATGTGATTTTGGTCATCGAAAGTTACTCTAAGTTAATTTTCTCCATTCAAGGAATAAGAAGCTAAATTTATACCATTCGAATAAATATTATTAATACTACTATAGCCTCATGTAAAACCGAAAAAATTTTCCATGTCAGTTTCCTTGGTAGTGCAGATAGTAAATATGGCAAGTTGTTCACTGACGAGTCGCCTTGTTGTTATATTTTACCCCACTTACAATACCAAGAAAACTTTGCTATTATAAATAAGGAATTAAGTTTAAAGCTTTTACTTGAAAATGTTCTCTGAAAGAGGAGAAGGAACAATATGCTAAGTTTTTCCTTTTAGTCTCACTGTTGCAATATTTTTCCGTCTTTCTTTGCAAGGGTAAACGAGTTGTAAGGCTGATGATAAGAAGTAGCTATGTGGGCCACGAAACTCAAAACGGCCGTTGGATTGTAATTAAAATAGCCTGACATTTCGTCATATCTTCGTCAAGGAAGTGCATTTGAAGAAAATATTTTTTTCCAGGTTGAAAATTAAATTAGACTCGACAATCTTAGGCATTTACGGAATTGTATATGTTTTTATTATGATACCGCATCTTATGTTCTTTAACTTAATTTGCGTCCACAAATTAACGCACTTGGCTCATTGGTGTGATATTTTGAAAAATCCTTTGGGAAATACCTTGAACGATCATTAAAACTCTTCGTTTAATCTTACGAGTATACGCGAACATTTTGCAACGAAATTTCGTCGCAGTGTAGCGAAGACCAGGGATAATTCAATTTAACAGTACGGGCAGATGCAGA